TTCAACAAAACAATATATTTTTATCATTTAAACAAAGTGGTTCTAATTTTTATCACCTCTACGACAATTTTTATTTTGTATGAAATGTATAAACATTTTTTGTATTTATAACTGGGTTTGTTTACTAAATCTAGCAAATTCTTTGAGCCTTATAGCGTTGATGTTGATAAATCCAGTGCTATCTTCGGGTGAAAAGCCTCCAGCGACATCCATAGAAACCAAAGTCTTGTTGTAAAGACTTGTTATACTTTTTCTAGATAATGTAATAACTGAGGAAAAAAAAACAAATTTAAACGGGCGTACGTAAATTTATCCCTTAATTTGTTAATTTATAATTAATAGCTATGAAAATAATTATATCTTTGTAAGTATCGGCAACTTGAAAGGCATTCTGTTGCTTGAACGGGCATGTCCGTCCGTGTAAGTACCACGACCTCACAGAAGACCGGCGTAAAGTGGAAGTGTCATATTTCTGCGTTTCGTCTAGTGATTGAGGTAGCCGGGTCCCACTTTAATAAAAGGTAGTCCATGTCCATGGGCGGCGGCTATCACATAAAATCAGGTGAACCGCCAGCTCGTTTTAGCCAGCTACTTTCTCACATAAAAATAAAAGTTTCAGAAAATTAGGATCGCGAAGAGCAATGAAAGTATATACACAACAGGCGGTCCATCTTGAGGGTTTATATTAATCTTAAAAATGTGTTTAAGATGGACTTGTGGTTTGAGTGGAATTGGTGTAAATTATATCCAAAGACATGAGGAGGGAGACGAATCCTTTTCGAACGTCACTTCTTATTTCTATATCAGTGTGAGCTACAAAAAGACAAAATTTTAATTTGAGTTTGATAGATTAATTATTGAAAAAAAAATCGATGCTGGCAGGATTCGAACCTACGCCTTCTGAAAAATACGCCCAGGCGCATTGGCCAACAGTCTAACAGCCGATATCTTCACAAGGCGAAAATCTCGACAACTATCACACTTAAGGTGATACACCTTGAAGTTTCATATAATTTCCAGCTGTAAGTTATTTTAGATTGCATTGCGTAATTCATAAACTCACACCCCGTTTCTGAAACACTGATTATCTTAGAAATTAACTAATCAGGAACACAAGGATTGTTAAACCCTTTGAATTGATCATTCTGATCATTAAGAAGGTCATTCCGATCAATTCAGAGTTTAACAATCCTTTTGGCAATTCAAATGACATTTGAAAAGCCATTTGACGGCTGATCATGATATTTATTTACAACTTATGAGGTTCAACGGTGTATAATTAATGTATTTAGTACCCGGAGGACCGAGGATCGGTTTGTTTTTTTTTTGATTACATTCAGATACAAATTACTGAGTAATGAAATATGCATAATATTTTTCGATATTACCGACGTAATAATAAGAAAATATGAACTGATGTTTTTCACAAAAGAAAGAACTTTAAAAAAAAAGGGAAAAAAATAACAAAATAACAAATCGACAAAAAATTAAAAATAAAGAAAGCAATGATCTGGAATCTAAAAAAAAATAAAAAAATATATGTGTAAATGATCGTGACGCGAACCACGGCCGTCCGTTTTGGGGCCGCCCGATTACCGACCGAGCTATTTTGACATTTTCTCTTGCGGCGAAATTTACCGTCATATTCGAATTATATTTTTCATTCCCTGAAAACGGTGATAAAAAGACATTTTCTAAAAATGAAACCTAGCTAGATCGATTTTTCGCCCCCGAATCTATGCACATACTAAATTTCATGAAAATCGCTGGAGCCGTTTCCGAGATTCCGATTATATATATATATATATATATATATATATATACAAGAATTACTCGTTTAAAGGATAAGATATAAACAACAAACAGGTTCTATATGCTTTGCTAAGGAGTACTAAAATGTTTGCCCTTCATATATTAAATCAATAAATATATAGAAGAATGCTTACCGTTCCCTTTATATACTTGCACCGTTACAGTCCCATTGACTGACTCTTGGGATAGTTCTAGACATTTCCTCGTATATGCCGCTTCGGGCGAAAACCAAAATCCGCAATATACGATATCCGACATTTTATCTTGAAGGTATTTTTTAATTCTGTGCAAAAGTAAATAGATATTGCTTACTTAGAAAACGGTTGTATTTATTCTACGTCAAAATTTTTCTGATAAAAAGTTCAAAATATACCTTAGCATTTCCCGGTCCAAAGAAAATGTTTCAAGATCTAAGTGAGCAGTGTGCAGGATAGTGCCCGCTGGTGTCTCGTACAGTCCTCTGGACTAAAACCGGGGCAGTATATTTAAATAATAGTTTTTGGAGTTTTCTAAAAGTTATTTTGTATTGGTCTTGCGAAACATGAATGAAAATACAGAGATATCGCTTAACATATATGATGTAAACATATTTATATATGATAAAATTTTAATGAATTTACAATCTTTATTGATATAATATTTACAAGATTAAAATTACATATTATCTAATAGACCTAATCCACGCGGCATGGTGCCAAGAATGCTAGCTGCATTTCCTCGCTGAATAGTTATGCTTAACCTTTGAGGGAGAAAAGAACCAGCTTTCTTGTCACCAGCCGCGGCGTTAAGCCTAGGACATAAACTTTTAAAAAATTTTGATGTAAACTAATCTAACACTTAAAAAGTATAAATAAGTTTAGCAAATTATATATTTATTAATCTTTGTTAATAATTAAATCATGTGAAAAGTAGTAAGCGACTAGGTTATTCACCTAATGTATAAATTATATAATTTATTCTCTATTAGGTATATAATTGTTTTATGTAAAAAGTTGGCAAACAAACAAGCAATTCACCATAACAATGTTTACGTCTCGACCAACACGGACGTTCCCAATAATATTATATACAAATATGCTGAGGGCACCTGGCATTAACTTCGTTTATGAGTGATTGTTGTTTTGAGTTATAGCTTTATGTTCTTCCCTTTTCATGCCGGACAACGTTAAACTAACGGACAAACAATTGATAACAAATAAAAACCAATTAAGATCAAAAACCTCATGAAATCGGATGCAGGTAATTTTGCTCTTCATAAATTGGGTAGTTTTTTTTTTTATGTGAAAAGTTGCTAAGCGAGCAGACGGTTCACCTGATGTTAAGTGAATACCGCCGCCCATGGACGTCTGCAACACCCGAGGGTTCCAGATGCGTTGACAACCTTTTGAAAATTGGGCTCTGGCCACCTCACTCACCAGGCGAAACGCGAAAGTATTATACTTCCACTTTACGTCGTTCTTCTGTGAGGTCGTGGTACTTACCCAGATGAGCCTGCCCATCCGTGCAACAGCCGAGGCTGCTGCGTGGCCGTACCACCGTTAATTGACGACTAGGACGATTTATATTTGCGCGATTATTATTTGCAGAGCCTAAAGTATAAAATCAAACTTACTTTGAGGCCTACAAACCGATTCTCAACGATATCAATTCGTCCCACACCATGCTGGCCACCGATCTTGTTCAATGTCTGAACAATGGCCAAAGAATCAGATAATGTCATTGGCTTGTCATGGCCGCTTGGTACTATGACCGAGACTGGCAAACCTGTTAAAATCATTAGGCTTTTTGTAATTAATTCAATGACGAAACTGGTTAATTTATCACATTTTTCATATTTTAAAATGATTATACTCTTGGAACATAAAATCTTAACAGATGTATGTGTTGTCAGAAAATAAATTAGAATTGGGTAATCTATTAGGAGAATGAGGAGATTAAGTATCGATAAGATTGTGATTGTGTGTGTTCGTTTGTATGCACGTAAGAAGTTTAACTTTTTTAGCGTAAGAAAACAAAAGTAAAGTAACAGCCTATACATGTCACTGCTGGGCATAGGCATCCTCTATACAAAGGGTATCAGGGCATAGTCGCCTCACTGTGGATTGGCGGACTTCACATATCTTCGAAAAATATTTTTCTTTATTTCAGAAAATATGCAGATTTCCTCACGAGGTTTTCCTTCACCGCGGAGCACGTGATAAGTCAGCACTTAAAGTTAAAAACTTCATTGGTGCCGGTACCGGGGATCGAACTCAGTTTGCTCGAGTATATTGAATTAAAGGCGAGCGCCCGGACACTGAGCTATCATAAGCGTAAGAAAAGAGTATTGGGACAAGGGATAATATTTAGGTTTTATAATTTAAGTTATCTACTTAAAATGTTATCCCTTGTCCCAATACTTTTTGTTTGTGAAAAATACATTAAATGCAATTGATAACGGTTTAATTAAATAATTTGGAATGATCAAAAAGTTATTATTGATTGCTATGGAAATACCGTAAAGTAAGAAATAAAAAAACGGCTGAACTCACGTAAAATCGACGTATGTACCGACTAGTTTCGGACCTATCGGAGGTCTTTCATCAGGGCGAGAGGAAGAGCTTGCAGCGCTCGAGTCGACATTGACTGAGGGCGCGGGGTGCGCCGGCGATGATGACGAATCCGACGAGATAGATGTAATATCACCGTAGATTTTAACGTAACGTAACGTTCTTATTCCGCATTCAAAAAAACACAGTTTTCCAAGTAGGCGACAGGACCCTACCGTCTCTATTAAAATTGGGATGGCGGTCGATCTCTATGGGTTCCAAGAGTTTGCGCGACACGAAGTTCTTTTCACAGGCTAACACTCACCTTATCGAACATAATGTAAGGTATCGGAGTTATGAGCGTTGCATCCCATTTCTCCGACGTAGCATTTGCCGCAGTCGCATATATCTATCGGCGTAACAGGTGCCAATTTGATCCGTTACCCATGTATGGTAAATATGCCGGTACTCGCTCTACAATTTAAGGCCGTTGTTTGCTGGTTGTGTTTGCCAGACGGTAACGCTGTCGCCAGTTATAGCAATTTCACTCTAACACCGTACGTGTGCCAATTCCACCTCCGGGAATTGGGAATCGCATTGGCGCAGTGCACGATTAACCCATCCCACTCATCATCATGAAAGACCTCCGATATTTCCGAAAGAAGCCGGCACATACAGCGATTGAACTTGAGCTCAGCCGTTTTACTATGTCGTCTGTATAATTTTTTGGTACTTATCTTATTTTCCAGAAAGCGTATATATACACAAACCTTTATTAAATACAATGTCCATCGTAGTAGGATAGTCCTCAGTAGATTGCAGGTCGCGTGTCATTTTATATATTCCATTTGGTGGAGCTACACTAGGGTCCTCGAGAATCCCTGATTCGTAACTGAAATTTAATATTATTGTAAAATTATAAATTCTGCTTAAATTACACGCCGGTAATGCTAGTAAAAATAGTGCTAAAACTAAATAGCGGAAAGTAGCTTAATGCTCATTACCTATTTATCAATTTTAAGACACGGCAGAACGCCTAGACGCCAGTTCAGGTCAAAATAATAAAAGTGTGACATGGACAAATGATCATAAAAGTCCCGCGATACGTGTGTCCTAGTGAATACGTAGCTTTAGGTTTAGAAGTAAAATGTCTTCAGAATGGTGAATGTGTAAAGCAGAAATATCATTAGCGCCTGTCTCATTATAATTGAATAATGCCACGCCGGTTGTAAGAGTTGTAAGAGAAGATATTTCGACTGAAAACGCCACTTTGAGCGTCAATTGAGAATAAAACACACCATTCAGCTGATTAGCTAATTTCTACAATGGTCAGTGCTTCAGAAACCGTAAATGTTATAAAACAAAAATGAAAAAGAAATAAAGTAATTTTAAACACACCTAATATGCATAATGTTTTCGTCGGTCGACCAAGGTTCCTTGGGTGTTGCAGCGACGGGGATATTCTCATTCTTCGCAAATTCTAATAAGTCGACACGTCCTTGAAACCTCTCAAAGAACTCTGGAAGACGCCACGGTGCTATTATCTATGAATTAGTTTTGATATTTAGTTTATTCTTGTATCAGAATAAATATTTAAAACGTAAATTATAATCTTCGGGATTCACCCGGCTGATTGATGATTATTCTACTGTCCACACAATTCCAAATTGAAATCATTAGCATGAAAAACCAACTGCTAAACTGCGCGAGACGGCGTTTATTCCTAGCCCGCCGTACTTTATGTATAATTTAACATTAACATTTTTATTGATCAAAACACGACACACTTCAAATTTGATTCGATTTCGATGTATCTCCAGAGATCTAGGTCCTATGCCAATGAAATTAATATGGGGCCACATATGAGCTAAACCGAACTTAATGCAGAAAGAATTTTATAAAATGATCACGTGCAAAAATGACAGAGTTCTGAGTTAACAAACATAAAAAAATACAACCGAATTGATGTCGATGGAAAAAAAATATTTTTTAAAATGGTACAATCCGCGAAGAGGTCGAATGGGTGACAATTGATTATACCCCAATAAAATTAAATATAATTATAGGCTGTTATTTTATAAAATACAACCGGGTGCCAAAACTGGCAATTGAATCCGCACCTATACATTACAAAAATTGCTTATATATTAAAAGACTGCATCAAAAATTATAGTTTGATTTAGTTATCTATAATATGATTATGATTATGTATTAGATATTATTAGTAAAATATATTGTTTCCTTAATTTCAGTATATTACTATTTGGGTTATTTTTATTTGATGACTTACCTTACCTTCGGGCCATAGCGAGTATACGTTTAGCTCAAATCGAACCTGATCGTTACCTTTGCCAGTGGCTCCGTGAGAAATGTACCTGCAGAAGTTGAAATTGTTCATTCTAAATAATTAGCTACAAATAAATTATGTTTTAAATACAACATACTTAGCGCCTAGACTTTTGGCAGCCTTGACCAATCCCACAGAAATACACGGTCTTGCCAAAGCTGTGCCGAGATAATATCGACTCTCATAGATTAAACCCATTTGAACAGCTGGCAGCACATAATTGTCCACGAATTCCTTCCGTAAGTCTTGAATTATGACCTAAAGTTATATAAAAAATGATAATAAATGTGTGTCTACCCAAATAAGAACAATTCTTTGGTTAAAATTTATAATTTAAGCTAGTACTGAATCTTAATGACTACTCTACTATTTTGATTCTGTTTAGCAATCGGTTATTCGTAGTCACAACTGTAAGATCATTTAAATCAGTCTTAAAATAAATAAAACCAGAATGGGAATGCAACTTGGAACCTGGGTTTTTTTAGAAAAGGGGCAAACGAGGCTCACCTGATGGTAAGTGATTACCGCCGCCCATGAACACCTGCAACACCCGAGGGTTTACAAATGCGTTGCCGGTCTTTAAACTGCCGGGTTTTAACTTTGATAAAATGATATTACAATAGAAATTTCCTTACGTTTAAACATTTACATGTCTCTAAATCTAAACCACTTCTCGTAGGGTGACGCAAAAAATATTGTCCAATCATTTATATTTTAAATTAAAATTTGTTTTTATCTTCTTTTATTTGATTTTAGAAAGCCCATATTTATTTAGGAAAAATACACAAATTTTATTGCACGCTAGATGATACCCGCGACTTCATCTGCCTTGCTTTTTATATTTTAGGTGCTACACCGCTTGCCCCACTACTCCACGGCAAGAAAACAATCACTGCTACCTACGAACCTATTGCTTATAAATATTATTTTTAAAGTTATTATTTCTTAAAGCTTTAAGTTAATTGAAAATATCACAATATTTTTTTTAGATACGGGCCAATTTTCTAAGACATAAATAAGTTTTCTGTGATCTCTATTATTTTATTTATTAAGATTGAGAAAACAAATGATTGCTTATTTGCAAGTTAGGTTTGTACTGTTACCTCTTAAAAGTAAATACCATAAACACTATCAGATCTGCAAGACTTTTACCATACTTACATCTTTTGCTCCGATTTGCACAGCTTTTTTCCTTGCTTTTTCAAAATTTTCATCTTGTCCTATATCAGCCATGTAACAAACAACTTCGTAATTTTTTTGTATCAACCTACAATTTAATTATTGCATTTTGTTCACAAATAAAACAACAGTCGTTTATTTTTCTTTTTTAAATTTTCATTAAGATTATGTTATATAATTGTTACATACAAATAGCGCAAGAAATTGTTCAATTATAACACCAGAAACTGGGCGCATTTTTATCTAATGTTTTGATTTTGAAGAAATAAAAATTACATCTCACCATTTTAATATACAGCTTGTATCTAAACCACCTGAATAAGCCAAAATTACAAGCTCTTTTCCCATTGCGGTAAATGTAGCGATTATAACTGCGAAGAATCCAGATTTCTTGATGAGCTTGTCCATTTATATATGACTACACTAGATGATAACCTCAGGGTCGTGTCAATCTCTATTTTACGGCAATATAACTGCTTTATTAACAAAAAATATTGAAGGGATTTGCATTGAAAAGAAAACAGCATCACGATTAAATAATTTATTAAACCCTAATTTAATATTTGAATACTGACAATGAAATTATGCTTATACACATAATAAGTACTTCTACATGAATGTCATTGCACAAAACGGCTAAGAAACCTTCGTTCAACCACAATAAAATTGGTTTGCAGCTCTATGTGATATATCATAATTAATTAAAATTATAGGTAAATTAATCGTACTAACTATACTTTATGTTAAATTTATTCTACATTGTAGCTATGCGAAAATTGATCTATGAGAAACTCTAAAATCACCACCCATCAAAATCTTTATAATTTGTTGCAACTTTTAACTACTTAGGTGCGCCATTTTGGAAAGAAGATTGTTAACATAATTAGTTTAACTAAATCGTTCAGGTTATATATGATTTCTTATTTGTTTATAACGGAAATTCCATTATAAACAAATAAGACGGTGCCAAGATTTCAATCAATGTAATGATCTATAGCCTATATTACAATCTTATTCTTTATCTGTAATGCCACGATACCATAGTAAAGGTCAACAGTACGAAATTATTCGTTTGATTATTCTAGGTTTGCTCGTTTCAACGTGACGTAATACAACAAAAACGATTTTTAACGATAGATTTAATCGCGTGTGCACGTGATCGTTTTATTATTATTTATTGGAATGTAAAGATAAAGAAGTTTCCACATGTTAAGCATTGTCCAGTTCTAGGTGCAAATATAATAAATAACTGACAATTGATATTAAGAAAATAAAACATTGTTATTAAGCCTGGTTAAATTAATAAGCAATAAATTCTTCGTATTGATCATATACCTAATATTACCAAAGTTTTCTAAACGGCCGAAGTATTTTCGGTTTTTTTATCCAATCAAGCATTACTATAAACCAATTTAAACAGATTAAATCTAATTGATATTAATATTTATAAGAATTAATTCATTTTTATAAATAATCATATTAGCCACACTATGATAATTTAACTTTCCTATATTTATATATTTAATACCACCAAATAACAAAAAGGTATGTGACCTTACTAATTACGCTCCTCCGTACTTTCACGCCATATTTATTACGATAAAACCTACACTTTCTTTATGTAGTTAATATATAATTATGTAAAAAAAATAATAACGTTATTATAAGCCAATGACACTAAAAACATTAACAGGATAAAATATTACAAATATTTTCAACAAATTTTTTACATAAACAATTTAAGGAGAAATGAAATTCAATATAAGTAATTATCACAAACAAAATAATAATTGTTAACATTTACTTTCAAAATATGCATATTATTTAAGTAAGTATACCCTTTCAAGACATACACTATAATTAACGAAGTTTTTTGAAATGCAAGTTTAGCAAATTAAAGAATATTTAATAATGATTAACTGTTTTGCACTTGTCTATGTATCTCTATATTTATGTATCAAGATAAAAGCGTTAAAAACTACATCAGATAAATTTATTACTCTATGCTCACACAATAATGTATGATATTGAAAACTATTATTAACGAAGAGAAGATAATTATATTAGCCGATATTCTGGTAGTGATTATTATAGTAGCTCACATATCTGATAATTTATGCAGTCAGAGAGCTCAAGTCCGAAATGAAAGTATCTGGAGTAAGTATATGCGAAGAGCCAATAATAACTTCCCAGTTCTTCAGGGCAGCGGTCACTTCGTACGCGCAGCGAATTTCGGAGAAACACACGCCTAAGGAAAAACAACATGTTAATAAATAGCGTTTTCCAACTTAAATAGCAGCAAAATCAGAAGTGACCATTATATTTAATTTCAAAACGAATGTTTACATAATTATGTAATAGAGGAAACGGCATTAGAAACATACGAAAAGGAACAACATTTTTTATAGAGGGTGATTTTTTAGACGGAAGTACCTACATAATTTGACATAATTGAGCATTCCATAATTCAAAAATAATGTTTATATTTTTTTTGACAAGAAATAACCAGAAAAATATCAATTCAAACATTGTTTGTTTATCCCGTTAAGAGTGGTCACCCTATTGATAAGCGGTTTAGTAATTATATGTTCAGCGAAAAGTTTTATTGCTCGTGAATAGGTAATTGTATTGAGACAGGTAGGAATTTCTTAAGGTGTCCATAATGTTTGAAAAAATTAAAAATAATGTTAGAAAAAAAAAAAAAAAAAAACGAGGTTACAAGTATGTACCAGAATCAGATTTAGAATAAAATTCTGCATATGCTCTGTTAATATGTCCGTCGTCTATAAATCACACTGTATATAAAATTTAGCTTCAGTATACATTATGTTTCCATTAAAAACAAGCACATGAATCGATTTGATATGTGGTCACAATATAGCTATTGCAAAGGAGATCGTTTTAATATATTTTAAAAAAGCCACAGCAAAGCATGGTCAGCAAGTATTTAAGTAAATAAGTTTACCTCCAACCACAAATACGATAAGTCGTGGTACGTTTTTGATCGTCTGCTGAGCCTTGTCCTTATGCCAGTGCCCGTAGCGAACGCTGTAACAATATCAACTATTTAGACATATTAATGATATAATTATATTATTTTAATATTTTTTTTATTTCTAATTATTTTTACTGACACTGATTGACCACCATCCCATCTATTGATATATATATAGTGTTATTTATGTACTTCTTATTTTATTTTATAACAAAGTTTGTATTCATCATAAAAAAATACCCCTAATTTGCCCATACCCTTAAAATACTCCTTACATATTATGTAAGGAGTATTTTAAGTTGTTGTCCAAAGGTTGCCTGTAAGAAATTGCTATAAGTAATAAGGCCGCCCATTGTACAACCCTTACATAATTGTTTATTTTTAATGTATCCTTTTATCATGGTGTGTGCAATAAAGATTATTCATTCATTCATTTAAACCGCTTTAGAGTGAATCGTTAATTTGTCGACACCCATATTTTTTTCGTATGTCAGAAGATGGCAAGCGAGCTAGCGGTTCAACTAATGTTAAGCTATAACCGCCGCCTGTGGACGTTTGCAACACCCGCACTCCCGTATGCGTTGACACCTTTTAATAAAGTGGACAACGAAAAATATTGCACGAGAATACGCATACAAACATTTTGTACCCGCCTTTGGCTGCACGCATTATAAAATATTTTATGAACCTCTTTGCTTGCATGCGAAATGTTTAGAACAGAAGAATGGAGTTCAGCTCATCTTTGAGATAGAGAACGAAAACGAGGAGGTTGAATGTAGCTCGTCGTCATTTAACAAGTACGCATAATCCAAGAAATATATTCCGTAGAGTAGCGATAGCGAAATTCTATGGCTATGGCCCTACGTTTTTTGTAAAATGTATCGCAATTGAATGATGTCAAAGGCGTCGACAAAATAGGTAAAGTTGTTAAATATACACATATTTATAAGTTGTTAAGTAACACTACGAGTCTTCCCTATATTCTTTGGCGTTAGTGTTTGATTAAAAGACAAAAAGGAATAACAGGGAAAAGTTGTGACTCGGTGGCACCGTTGCTACTAAGCTACAGATAATTTTTCCGGATCTGGGTGTTTGTTTCCCAAGGTCTGTTGACGTCACGCATGCGGCTGGTCGTAAAAAATATAGCCAAAATCGCTTACAACATGATTCACATGTGCCGACTACACCAAGAGGGATAAAGGCAGGAGTATAATGTTGAAGTGTTTGATTAAAATTTAAAAAATAGTACTTATTACTGAATACGAAGAGTCGTGAGCACCAAGATTACAATATTTTGCAGCATCATCTCAAATATGACTACAGTAATTAAACATAATTATGACTGCGACTTGTGATTTAAAAACAAAATCCGAATGTATTAGCAAACTATATGTCGGTGTGAAGCATCCTCGTAATGACGTCATAGGCTTGATGGAAATATTTTAGGAACAAAACACATTTAATCAAAATCAAATCAAATCTTTATTCTTTTTGCATCAACTATGTTATTTTATACCAATATTAAGTGATCATTTTGATTAATCTGATCAGCTGTACCCTTGACTAGTCTTGTGCTATATTGTGAAATGTAGTCTTTATAACTTCTATCTTGTATTAACTGATGTTTTTGCTTTCCCGAGACTATTAAAGCTTCATCTGACGCAGAACCGATGGGCTAGCCAGAACCCACGGGTTTGGGCCCTCCGCTGTGGGTAGGGCCGCGCATGTGCTCATGCGTGCGTTTAACTACGACATGTCATCTAAGGGCCATCGAAGTTGCGGTGCGGACCGAGACCCCGATGGCCGTCGACTGTGTTTTTAGCTAATCGGTGGCTGGGGGCGGTGAGAACCGCCCTGGAACGCGAGTGGACTATTGTGTTTGTTGTTACACTAGCTGTGGGTGTAGTGTTATCCGGCGGGACCCCCGGCGGTGGGTCCGGGGTCTTTATAAGCTTACCTAGTTGGCGCTTGATATCCGGATGTCTGGGCGCGACCGGCCAAGAATGGGAAGTGTCGTTGGTCCAGTTTATCATCAATTGCGTCCTCCATGATGTCCTTTAAAAAAATTAAAACACTCGTGGCAAATTGATAGAACGATAAAACAATTTTTTAACTATGAAAATAGTTACAACGAAGTTACCTTAATAACAGGAGTCCAACGTGACATTTGATACGTCTGCTCGGTGATGCGCTCCTTCCTTGGTACTTGATATTGCTTTTTTCTGTTGCCCTGTTAGAAAAAAAAAAATACAAATGAAGCCACCAACAACGAAGCCTTAGAAACCCTATTAAAGATTTGATTAAAAGCCCGAAACCTTAAACTTATCTATGCCACGCAACAGCATCGACTGTTGCACGAATGGGCAGGTCCGTCCGGGTTAGTACCACGACCTCACAGAAGACCGGCGTGAAGTGGAAGTTTTATACTTCTGCATATCGTCTGGTGAGTGAGGTAGCCGGGTCCCACTTTATTAAAAGGTGGCAACGCATCTGAAACCCTACGGTTGTTGCAAATGGGCGGCGCTTATCAGTTAAGATCAGGCGAACCGCCAGCTCGCTTGCCACCTTCTAACATAAAGAAAAACTTCAAGGTGAGCAAAATCGAGATGTAGTTATCGAGATGTCACTAGCCGAAATCATTTTTTTTTATTTATTGTTTATTGTTAGAAAGAGGTTTTGTCACACAGTGACTATGACAACCCCCATTTAATAATCCCAACAATATTAACTTAACCTAATAGTACGTAACAGTAACACAAAAATTATTCATGCCCCGGCCTGCAGTATCCCCTCAATGAAGAGATTGGTGCACCCCGCAACATTCACGCTACCCCGAAATCAATTAAAACTTACATCGACAACAACGTTCAAGCCCAAGTTGGCGAGGTTGAGAAGTGCCTGCTTGTCGGATGGCTCGAGCTGCGCGTGGGTGACCAGCTTGTTCAGATTCTCCTCAGATATTCCGTTCTTCGACATGATGTACAGGGCGATAATGCGCATCTTGTTGTAGTTGGTTACGGTCTGCGGGAAACCAATAGCCTTTTTGTATGTCTTGGATGTATTGCACGCCAGTTGATAATAATTTAAAAACAAAATGTGTTAAATAATTATAGATCACTTTTTTTTGTGCTTGGGCAATATTTTTAATCATATCACCTTATTACATTAATAAAGAGAATTTCGTGATTTATCAACGACATAGTTAAACAAACCTATTTGTTGCGAGAATAAAACTTAAAACATAATTTTAAAACATAATGCCTAGTTTCTAAATTAATAGGAAAAAACATACTGCGTTTTACTAACAAATCTGTTTTTAACTGGAACTACTTTGTCCCTTGTATGAAAATAAATAACAAAGCTTAAAACTTACCTGGTCAAGTAGAACCGGCACAATGCTCCTCATATGATCCTTAATCTTTTCGCCCTCCGCGTCAGTGCCCATAGCGAGATCCTAAACATATTAAGTAAATAATTTGTTAAGGCGTCTAATGTGTTCAAACACCGACAAATGCTGTTTTGTAGCAATTCTGGGAAAAGCACGCTTAGACCACGGTTTCTAATCAAAGTAGTCTCGGATCGGGTTCTATTATTCATAATTTAATAGCAACCGGTTTCAATGTGAATTGTTATGAAAGCTGCATTGTCAAAAATAATTTGTATAAGAAAATTTTAATGCATTTAAAATAGAGTAAATCTCTAATTCTCGAAAATCCAAGAGCTTGTCATTTTTATATTGATATAAATTCCATTATATTATCTCCAACAAAATCGTTTGAGTAATATTGAATACAATTCAAAAGTTTAAGCTTTGGTCATCTTCAACCGATAAATTTAAAATTAGAAAAAATGTTAACGGCTGTAATTGAGTAAAGTTACCTGTTCCACCTTGCACAGTTTGTCAACATATCCCTGATATGCTTTCATGCAATCTTCGGCGAGGCGCAGATGAGTTGCGTACTTCGACAGCTCTTTTTGGTACTGAGGCATTTTCTTGATCATTTGCGACAAATCGCGCATTGACTGCTTATCACCTGTTTTCATTTATATAGAAGTGAAAATACAGAAGTTTATTGGCTGTATTTTAAAAAAGCATCCCGTTTTTTATAATCCAGCAGAACATTTGGAACCAAATGTTATTGCAAGTGGCAGCGGGTTATAACTCACTATTGGGTAACACGCTAATTATTAATTTTCTTAACTAAATTATTAATATATATATATATATATATATATATATATATATATATATATATATATAACTAAAAGTTTTAGCCATTTTGTATTCGTAAAATAAACTATTTATTTTTTTGTACCTCCACCCATGCGCTTAGACTCTGTAAACTTCTTCAGGTTCTTTGTGACAGATGTTGAGACCACTGCAATGTGCTGGTGACGAAGCTCTACCCAGAGCTCATCATTCTCATCCAGCAACACTTCCTTTACTTGTCCCTGAGATGCTTCATATCTGAAAAACTCTTTCAAATAAAATAGATTTGCCTTTATAGCACGCAATATTGTCTATTACACCATAAGCTGGAAGTGGCTCTATAATGTAAGTTATCAAATAATAGGAAAATAAAGTCTTCATGCTTAAAATTGTAACATCGAATATGCGGTTTATTATTTTTTTTTATTTTGCTGTGTTAGCCACCTCGATTGGCAACATTCACACAGTATACTGGCATAAAGTAGAAGTATTTACACTTTTGCGCTTCGCCTGATGTATGTGGTTTTTTAGGCAAATCCCCTGGTGTTGCAGATACCTAAGAGCGACGATTTTCACTGGCTTCTTCTGCACTTTCCCTTTAATAAAAAAATGTGTCTGATTTCTTTACTGTACCTGTAAACATCATTCTCGATAGGCAGAAGATCGTAAGCCATAGCTTGAAGAGTCAGCTCATGTAACAGAGGCGAAACACAGTCGAATCCGCGGTCGAGCACTAGTAGCTGGGACCGCGCTTTCTCAGGACCTTCACCCATGGTTGGTTCATCAGCCTAAGGCAGTAAATTCATATTTCAAATTCATACTTTTGTGAAAAAATGTGTTGAACTGAGTATGAATTTGGAACATTCGGTCTAACAGGTTCATACAGGACGGCAGAGTACTACGTAAATACAAGTAGTAGAGTTTACTTGTTTCTACATCCGGTGTACTATCTATCGATACCTACTTAATATTGAAAAGAAAGAGTTTTTTTTACAGTTGATCAAAAATAAAGAACCATCGACCTAGATATGATGGATGAGACACAATGATCTATTTTATTTATGATTAAAGTGTGAAATTTTTTTTTGTATATGTGGCCTTCAATCGTCATCCCATGGCTGTTGTTTTTCATCGGACCTAAGCGCCTAGGTTCTCGTTGAGTCAGGCATATTGGCTTAGTCTGTAACTATAGTTAGTGTGTCTTAACTATAGTTTCCTGCTTATACGTACTTTTTCGAATGGTCGTGGCTTATTAAAGGATTTTTATTATGTCATTTAGAGGTTTAACGTGTCGATGTTAACAGGCATGGATAGTTTTATGGTATTCAAGAGATTAGTATTGATGGACAATTGTCGTTGTCGAGATTTAGTTAAAGACCTCGTCACGGTTCTTAGTTCTTGTATTGAAATAGTTTAAACAAACAAGCAAGAAATGACGTCAGAGGTTACACGACATATTACATCATTTATTGACTGATGAACAACAAATTGAAACCTGATGATACTGTTAAGGACACAATGGTGTGGCAACAAAAAAATACATACTTTGTATGCGTCCAGTTTTTGCTGGATGAGTTGCGCAAGTTCCACGTTGCGTTCCCAGTCACTGAAAAATATATATATATATATATATATATAGCCACAAAAGAGAAGCAAGGATTAAAAATTAATATTCCCCACTAGCAACCCGCTCCTACTTCGGTGCAATGTGGATATTGAAAACCTCGGCTTTTCTTTACTGTAATGTGCATGTATACTACATATAAACCTTCTGCTTAAATAATTTTATCAATTGCTGAAAACCGCATTTAAATCTGTTGCTTAGTTTAAAAGCGTAAAAACATCGGAAGAGATAGAGAGGATTTTATACTATCGAAAGGACACAAAAAATTGAGTAAATTATAATGTGCGAAAAACTTTAAAGCAATTCTCACATCTTAATCCATAGAAAATATTTGTATACTAAAACAAGGCACGAATGAGTTTATTCATTTTTATAATAAGTACTAGCTGAGCCGACAGAAGTTGTCCTGTCTTAACGATGACTATTTAATTCGAATTGGTATAATTAATTAAAAAAAAAAGTGTGTTTATTATTCTAATGCTTTATGATATACAATATTATTGGTTTTTTTTCTTGCGCGTATATAAATACTCATGTTGGTATTTCGAAACGGGAACAGGCGATTCACGCGTGATGAGTATATATATATATATACAGCGTGTCGTTACCATCGCGACAATAAATGAACACACGTCTACCACTATTTGCCAATAATCATAAAAAAATATTAACGTTAAACAAAATCCATAATTAAAAAAAAATATTTTCCAAACAAACTAATTAAGTAAAAAAGAAACAAAATTTGTAACACCCTATACAACTCGCGCCACAGCGTCGTATTATAAGCCTCTCCTTCTAACCGTGTGTTTTGTCTCTTTTAAATTCATTCAACCCATTCATATGCTTTGTGACCTTTACAAATGAACTTTACGTTACGCCGCTGTGGGAATCGAACCCACGTCGTCGGAATCGCGGCCTGACGCTTTAGCCACTAAGCTAAACGGCTGATTGCCACACTGATGAAAGTCTTAACGTCTTTTATCTACTTTGTTTTTTTGGCATTTGAAGCAATGCTTAGCGCATCCATTGTTATACAGCGTGTCGTTACCATCGCGACAATAAATGAACACACGTCTAACCCTACTTGCCAATAATCATAAAAAAATATTAACGTTCAACAAAATCCGTAATGAAAAAAAAATATTTTTCAAACAAACTAATTAAGTAAAAAAGAAACAAAATTTGTAAATACAACTCGCGCCACAGCATCGTATTACAAGCCTCTCCTTTTAACAGTATGTTTTGTCTCTTTTAAATTCATTCAACCCATTCATATGCTTTGTGACCTTTACAAATGAACTTTACGTTACAGTTTTACGCGTAAGAGTGTTCTAAAATTCTTTGTTTTGGAAAATTTAATAACTCTGTAAATATTGATGTTTAAAGAATTTAAATGTTTAATACAACTTTAAAAAGTTATCCCCTATATGTGTGTTCATTTATTGTCGCGATGGTAACGACACGCTGTATATATATATATGTCATACAAATAAGTGTTCGTGGCGAATAGTTAATCGATATACAACCAAGGTTTTGAACTTTAATCTAACTTTGTATAAAAATTACGCTAGTATTAGTACTACACATGTCGTATTTATAAATATACTGCCCCTCACGCCTTGTTCTCACGAAGTTGCATAACAAGAAACAAAACTATTTTCTAACAAAGTAATTGAACGAAATGACAAAGTTCTCATGGTCAATCGTACTTGAATTCATTGTTATTTTAACAATGTGTAGAGAATTTGGTTACTGGCTGTGGACATTTGGACATTGACTTATCGTAATATACATATACAGACCTGCGATAACGCACGGATGGATATTCGCCGAGAGTTGCGCACAAAGTCGCAATCTGCTCAGCGATACGCTCCATGTTGGCGTTGCGAGTTTGCGCGAGGGCAGGGTTGTACATGCACTGGAACGTCTCAGACGAGTCGAGAGAGAACACCTACAAGTGCGATAAGCAGAATTAAAAACGTAACAGCTGAAGTAACTTTGGAATGTCTGCGAGTTAGTTTTGTTTGTTCGGTAAAGGTGTTGTTACACAAAATATTCACCTGGCTCTCATAGGGCAGGAAGGCAATGTTAATCTCCTTCAAAGTTTTAATTTTTCTAGCGGCCGATGACTTGCACAGTTCATTGAACAGTTCCTCGGGGCATACTTTTTATTGGCAGCGTGTAAAGATACGTTGATTAAATTAACAAGTCACAGTAAATTTTCCCACACGTACTAGAATTGCGCTAAGCCTGACAAAGCATTATTTAAAAATAAATATAATTTTGACAAACCTGTTGTTCGTATGATATGAAAGCAATGTTGATTTCCTTTAAGGTATGAATAAATTTAGCTACACGACTACGTGACAATTTGTCAAAGAGGGCATCAGGACAAGCTGTAAAAGTTAAAATAAAAAATAATAAATGCAACCCAAGATAAAGGATAATTAGCATACTGCTGGAAATAATATTTAGAAAGCACTACCTTCTGTAAAAAAGACATGTGCAGCTTTGTACATGATACGGTTTCCAACTGAAAAGTCATTGATGAGTGCATGTACTGACTTTTCAGATGGTGTAATAAGGTAGATCCCATCCATGGTGCAGAGTGGCTCACGTTTCTTATGAATATCCTCAACCACTGCAAAATGAAACACAATATAAATACAGGATGGCTTTTCTAAGACATAAATAATGTTATTTAAAAATGATAAATATTTAAAATCATTCTTAAGTAATTAATTACATTAATTTGAACTTATCTCAAAAAGTGCGTGATTTATACGCAACTCATTTATTTTACGCGCGATCATTCATAACTAACACGCACACAAGTTCGTGCACAGTAAAATTTAGGTATTTATGAATGACTGCATTGACAATATGTTCTGTTTTTTAGGGATTAGAATGGCATTTTTTTTGAAAAAAAAAAACCTTGTTTTTTATTTCAATAAACGATTATACTACCGAGTCTGAACCTTCTGTGTAAATTTGGGCACATCTCAAAAAATCTCCCTGTATAGTAATTATTTTCAAAATTAGGTGGCTTATTTGTAATTCTATTAATGTCAAACAGTAAAAAGAATTGAAAGCATCTTTCTTTTACTCTTTGATATTAAAATGCAGGATGCAAAGCAGACTGTCTAAAAACTTTCTTACAAGTGATTCCTTCTGCGGAAATATCATGCATTTTGCAGCAGGCTGACACCATGCGCATTGATAGTTGATCTACAATGAGAATGCGCCATTCAATTCTTTGCGACTCCTTGCCTTTAGGTCCGCGATAGCGGATGACTTCATTCATAATTTCTGAAATAAAAAAAGTAATATTGGTTAAAAATAAATGCTAAAAAGCAATGTGGATAAAGGGCTTTAAGATTTTCGTCGGTGTGGCAATCAGCCGTTTATCTCAGTGGCTAGAGCGTCAGGCCGCGAATGCCGAAGACGTGGGTTCGATTCCCACAACGGCGAAAATCTTTTCGTACTTTTTCTACATATTTTAATATTGGTTAAATTTTAAAAAATGTCATATTCTGTATTGCATTTCATATATCTAAAATTACTAACTATTAGTAGATTAGATTCTAGAAAGATTTATTGCTATAGAAACTTTGCAATAAGTCTAAACTAAAATCATGACAATTTAAAAACGAACTAAAAATCTATAACATTACTAGAAATCAAATCAAAAAGTGGTTATTTAGAAATTGTTACTAGGAATAGGTGTACCACTTTTGATGGTACAACTTTCCATTGTCGTCTATCAAATTGAGGGGAGGGTGGGAGGGGAAGGGGGCTTCCCCCTTTCCTGTTTTTTTAATTTCGAATTCTGAGGAAAATTTCCACATTTTATGGGTTAAAATAACGATAAGTGAATGAGTAAAATAAAAAATAAGGGGAACCCCTTGGAGGGGAAGGGAGTTCATCCCTAATCAGAGCAAAATGGGGTAACAGATTCAGAGGGACTTCTGTATCTATTTTGAGACTGCAACATCTTCAGTATTGCGGGTAGAGCCTCTGCCCCCTGTAACAATTGGAAGTACCGGACCAGCCAGAGTGGCCAAGGCTGGGTGCCAAAGGCGGCCAACAAGCCAAAGACGAAGAAGTATGTGCATCAGACTATAAAAATACTAAGGTGTAGGACAAGCTCGCACCAGGTGGAGTCGGGGTCAATCTATTTGGTTCATTGCCATATGTGGAACCTAACCTATTTTATTTGACGACTACAGGGGAAAAACAAGGAGTGTCAGTAAAAAGTAAAATGGAAATAAAATTGTTTTTCAGCATTATGGTGTGTTAAGTGTTATTTTTGTGTTAGACATTAAATAAAATAAAAACTATGCAATGTGGTCTAAGGAAAAGTACAAATCGGAATAATACAACAGTTCACCGTTCTGCATCAAATATGATAAAATCCTGTGTGTTCTCAATAATTTTTTCTCAAAAAATTTGCCTCTAATGTAATGTGATGTAAAGTAACCTTTCTTTAGAAAAATATCAACCCACAACTTCATAGATCTCATTGGAAAGCTGACCGTTTGATTGATTCATGTTGACGCTCATGATGATGACTGTTTTCATTTCTTTTTTTATTTAACAAAAAAGTTTATATGCAAGAGATACTCACATAGACAACAAAATGAGGTTTATAGCTACCAAGGTATTGTCTAGTTACAAAATATGTTATTTTCAGATGAGTGATGACATTCTTAATACCAGTCTAGCAATGTGAAAATGAAAAAATGATGAGATATTTGTAATTAACATAAGTATTAAAGTGTTTTATGTTAGCTTAATCCTGCTAAAACAGTAAAAAAAAAAAATTAGGTGCATCACAAAGTGTATATAGGTCAAGTGGACAAAGACTTCATGACTATTTTAATGAAAAATGTAACGTTTGTAAATTAATACACCATAATTTGACATACGAATAATAATTTTATAAACAATTACTCAAATAGCTAACAAAAAATTAAATATTACACATTACAATCTATAATACAATCATTAGGATCTCGCAATGACGTACTTCCCCACCCCTCTGGCGCTAGTGTCAGAAAAATCAATATTTTGTCTTTTAATAAATGGTTATTAAGTAAGTAGTAAACTGCATAGCGGAAAACATGAAATAAAGAATTTTTTAAGTAAATGTTGCAATTTATCGATTGTTTACATCATGTTTAATTTTAAACAATTAAATGAATAGCTAACACGCAAAAAATTGTAGTATTCTTGAAATGTTTGAATATAAGCGCGAAACAATACATTAAACTAAATTTATGTATAATTATTTATCTTCTTATGTATCTACCTATAGAGATAGATTCGGTAGATTGATATTATATTAGTCATCAAGGCTCAAAATAAATTAACTACGTAATACGAGAAGATGCAGGAATGGTATGTGGATTGAGTAATTAGTTTTTCTTTAATTAAAAATATTTAAAAGAAGAGTGTGTGCTGTTAATACCATTAAATTAAAGAATATTTTTACTTACTTTGTCCGACAAGTGCTTTGAGAGCCATCTTGAACCACAGACTAGAGAGCTGTACTCTTTTGACCACTGCTTCGATTTTGACAACAGTGTCACCTACAAAACGCAGACGTTAAAAGCTGGCGTTGTCACGTTCTAAAACTGTGGAGTTAATTTAGTTATTTAGATTAACATTTTTTTTACTTACACTTATTAAGTTTAATTTCAATTTTACAAAGTATCCATCAATCAGATTTGGATATTTCGTAATATTTGATTTATGTACGTCTATGATGATTTCTTAGCTTTTGCAATAACTATTGAATTAATTTAGTTATATAAATTTACATGTTTTTTACTTACATTTATTAGGTTTAATGTCAATTTTACAAAGTATTCATCAATCAGCTTTGGATATTTCGTAATATTTTATTTATGTACGTACGTCTATGGTGATTTCCTACCTTTTGCAATAACTATTGAATTAATTGTTTATGAGAACTGTTATTAAGATAATATAATCTTGATCTGAAAATAAGTATAATTTTAGTACAAAATCAAAATACGCGCGCTTATGATAATGCGAATGATAAGGATGCGGGTCGATAAAAGTAGATAGAGAGGCAATGAATCGCTATTTCACTCAAACATAACTAATAGTCTGAGAAAGATCAGTGAGTAAATAGGATAGCGGATAGATAGCTTTTGCTTTTGACAATTTAGTTTTTTATTCGATCGTGAAGGTAATGGTTGTGTTGATCTTTTTGGCAGTGTGATAATCACGTGTGCGTTGTTAATACGAATTTTTAATATGTATATTAATAATGTCTTTTATTGCGTGTGATGGAATATAATAATAAGAGGCAGGTAAAATTAAATTATCATAGTTTTATCATAAAATGTTATTATACAAGCTTAAAATCAGTTTACTGTGTTGTCTTATTGTTTTAACGTTAAATAAGTAATTGTGTTATTCAATTATTTTATAAAACAATAAATAATTTTGAGTTTTATTCCATACGAAACCAAAATGTAAAATTGAATATTTTACTTGAGCCTTGGTCATACTATGTAAAATGATTTGCATTATTTATATCAATCGATTATAAACTAGTTAACCTAATCTTAAAAAATAATAATTGTATTTTAAGAAATAATCTTGAATGGTTGATCATCCAATTTTTGAAATTAAACATCAAATCTATTTCATTCAGTAGCAAAAACTTATTACTCAAGCAGAATGGTATAATGATACTTAAGTTTTTTATTAACAGTTGGTGAAAGTGTCTCAGTGGTTGAGGAGCTACCAGGTGTTCTAACAACAGATTGATAGGTTGTAGCTTTTGTGCAGTGAAATGTAAAGTGTAAATAATAACTCTTCTATTTGACGTGTAGTGCATACTTTTAATAACTACCTTACGTGATTTTAAAAATGAGGTGCGACGATAAACCAGATGTGATTACGTATCCCTGCCGTGCCGAAGGTTGGCTAGATAAATGCGGTAAGTAATTATTTTAAAAAGGAAAAACAAATATTTAGATGTACGGGCAATTCCTATTTTTATTCTACATCGGTGGGTTATTTGGAGCGTTTTACGTAAGTGCTCATTGAGTGACATGATTCTGTTGGTGAGTAATAAAGGTCACATTCTTTAGCAAGTTTACCAAAAATTACAATTTGAAACAAAATTAACACCATTGCAATACCAATCTGTGTGCAATAATTTATTAGAACCGTTCTTTATTGATTCACGGCTTCAATAATAATTTCAGCTAGTGTTGCGGTTAAAAGTCGTGGAACAATTTACCGTACCGTTTTTATTAAACTAAAATTTGTCAACAATCTTTTTGAAACGGTATACAACAAGAGCTCCTTAGAATAAATTCAATGATAACCGACGGCAAACAGTCGTTGATGAATAGATATACGAGAAGAAATAATTGTCATGTCATGAATAGCATAATATAGCATTATACAAACTGTGGTGTACACAGTTTGTATAATGCTATATTAATAAAATAAGTGTATCATCTTATTATTCAAAAAATAAATCGATCTAGAATGACAAATCGTGTGGTACAAATGCAAATGCATATTTAGTAAGCATATACATAATATAGATATTCAAATCATAATTAAATATTATATGAATGTATGTGAACGTATTCAAGCTTCTATTTTCTAGTGTTATCATTGTACAAGATTGTTTCACAAATGCTGCACTTACAATTTTGCTTTATTGTTATCACAACAGTACTACGGTGGAAGAAAAATGGTTTAACTTATTTTATCAATAATTAAGACAAATACTTCCGGAGTGTAAAGCGTGCAAGGCATTTTTCTCCGTTTGATGAATATGATGAGTTGCACAAAAGTAGGCAGACCTTGCTCTCCCATATCAGGACATGGCGACGTCATGTCGCCGAATTCACTTGGTTTGTTCGGACTAATTGTGTAAACCTCAATTGAGTTGCTGCCTGTAGCCCTTGTGAAATCGTAAGTAGCGGCAATGAAAAATAGGTCATTGTTCCTTCACAATATGTACCTAAACACAATTACAGTATAATATAATTAAAAAATTGTTTGTCAAAATGTTCTGTACAGGTCTTATTTAGAAAAGTAAGACCTGTTTTAATTTATTCTTTTTTCATGCATGAACTACCTGTTTTCGTCAGAGCTGGTTGTTTGTTACTTAACGGAAATCTAAATCTACGAATCTATGGTGTAGTTTTCTACCAAGTTACGGCCCAAAGGCCAATTTAATTTGCACGCTCTCTATTTGATTAAAATGTCCAAATATTAGTGGACTCAATCTAAACCCTTCACTTAGTATGTTGTATGCCGTTACAACGTATATTTAAACGAATTGTGGTAGTAAGGATTAGAAAGGTGGTAGGGCCACGCAGCAGCCTCGGTTGTTGCATGAATGGGCAGGCTCGTCCGGGTGAATACCACGACCGCACAAAAGACCGGCGTAATCAGATATAAATATTATATTTATTCTTCAAAAAAGAGCTGTCCGAGCAATCTACAATATCGGAGCCCGGAATTCACTCAGAGATCTTTTCAAAGAGGTTAATATACTCACTGTTGCTTCTCAATACATTTATTGTAATGTTTTGTATATACGTCATAACCTTAATTATTACCTAAAGAATAGTGACAGACATAAAATAAACACTAGAAATAAGGACAAACTTACTACGCCATTGTTTCGTCTACAAAAAGTAAATAAGTCGTTCATGGGGCAAAGTGTACGCATGTATAATAAAATCCCACAGTCGATATTAAGTCTGCCGTTTGACCAATTTAAATGTAAAATTAAAAATCAACTGATGATTAAAGCATATTATACCATTTCGGAATATCTCGACGACGCCAATGTGTGGAGTTAATACTGTTGATACTCACGTAGGCTAGAATAAGACTATTATACCTGTATATTATATTGTACCCTGATATTTTTGAAAAAGAGCAACTGTTGAGTTTCTTGCCGGTCTCTTCTCAACAGAAAGAAACCGCTTTCCGAACCGGTGGTACCTTACGAACCTATACACATAATCTTTGATGTAAAATTTGACGATTCATAAGAGCGCGCAAGCGTCTATTTGAATAAATATATTTTGATTTTGATTTTGATTAAAGTGGAAGTATAATACTTTCACGTTTCGTTTGGTGAGTAGGGCGGCCGGAGCCCAATTTTCAAAAGGTTGTCAACGCATCTGAACCCTCGTGTGTAGCAGATGTCCATGGGCGGCGGTAATCACTTAACATCAGGTGAACCGTCTGCTCGTTTGGCAACTTTTCGCATAAAATAAAATAAAATAATAATTTCTCGCAGATGAAATCGCATGGGACTGCTAGTCCCGAAATAAAAGTGTTTTGCGATCGTGATACTTTTTTTTAAATACTCACACATAAAATAAAAAAAAACATAGCCAATTTACAGATTTACGTATAGAAATGATAAATGCAGTTTTACATAAGTGAAAAAATGTGACCGCAAATTAGTAGCTTCAGAGATTTCATGCATAACAACAAACAAACAAATTTTCTCTATTTGTGGTATTATGTATTTTATTCACGGTATTGGTAGAATTATTTTCTTAAATATTTAGGTTTTTGTATAACTTTAACCGTCCTGCCATATAGTAATAACGTTAGGATGTTTAGTGTGAGTATAACCACAGGTTGCTCGGCTACTTAAAATAAATTTAATGGTGCAAGTGTATTCGGATCTTTGTGCTAATGCTGGACCACAGACATGTGCGTCGTTTTAAAAATTTCATTTAAATAATGAATTTGTATACTATCATGTTTGTGTTGTTCTTGATTGTCTTATTAAACTTAACAGACTTCGTGATTACACTGGTGATTATGAAAATAATAAACTGGTATATAATTGATGTTAATTTATGGTTGCTTATTCGACTTTCCACTTGATTAACTATTTAAAATAACCGTATTGTGAATTGATTCCAATACGCAATAACAACATCGGTACTTGATAAAACGCGGAGAGAGTTGTTAAAATCATATTGTATATTTCCTTTCACGAATATTTTCTCTTTCTGTGACTTTTTTCTTGAGGCCACTTTAATACCGTGTTTGTAACTTTATTCGCCTTAAAATATGTAGAAAATTAAAATATGTAGAAAAAGTATTCGCCTTACTGACTCTGAGAAATAAAGCACGATTCAAAGGTCCCTGCTTTTCATTGTATAAACTGAACTGTAACATATTTTCGCATACCAATCCCTTTCGTAGCGAATGCCATTCAATTCTTAACAACGAAAGTAATCTACTCTTTTTATACATGTATGTATGAGTATAAGTTCGAATGTGTATGCACCACGGTATTCGTGGAGTAATGATGTCATGTTCCGAGAGTTTGGGCTGACGGTCACGTCGCTTTAACAAGGTTTGAGAAGAAATCGGATAAGGAAAACAATGTTAGTATGCTGGATGTATTCCGTTCAGTCAGTAGGTAACAAGATCGTCAGTGAATGGATGTATTGAGCGTAGAGCTCACTTATTTATTCGTAGCACTA